CTTGGCCAAATATGTCGGATATAGAGTACGAGATAGATAGAGAAAGAGAGACAGAGAGAGAGAGAGAGAGAGAGAGAGAGAGAAAGGGTGGGAGGGAGGAAGGGATTCAACTGTTTTCAGTATCGACATTTAATCTATCATTCTTTACATTGAGAGAATATATTTCACTTTCTTTCTCTTTCTCTCTCTCTCTTTTTTTTTTTTTTTTACTCTTTTGTTCCTCTAATGCTATTTTCTGGTGATTACTCGAATCAAACGTTGATCATTCTTTCGACTAAAAGCATGAAAATCAATGGATCGTATATCTAAAAAAAAAAATATGTATGTATTTATATGTGTGTATGTGTGTGTGTGTACATATATACATATAAAATATCGATTAATTTCGATTAATATAATAACTGTCATAACTCGGATAAAATTGTAAAATGTTTTCTTGTTACACAAGTTCCACGCAAAATTTTATCGGAATATCATAAAAAAGAGAAAAGAAAAAAGGATAGATAGAAAAATGCATGTACCTATCGATATATCCTATATTGTCTTTTTCTTTTTTTTTTTTTTTTTTTTTTTTTTTTTTTTTTTTTTTTTCTTTTTTTTTTTTTTTATTTACTTTTTCCTTAGAAAACATAAACCGAGCAGGGCTTAGGAAGCGGAGGGAAATTTCTACGCAATGAAAATTCCTAAAATATCGTTCGATACGCGAAATCGATAAATATCCAGCGAGCACGCGCGTAAAATTCTTTTGTCGGGCATGTGGAATCCTTAAAAAAATTCTTCCATCTTTCTGGTAAATATAAATCGATATATATATATATATATAAAAAAGGAGAGAGAGAGAGAGAGAGAGAGAGAAAATAACGACGAGAAAGCTCGATCTTTTTATAAATATTGCAAACCAACAGAAAGGAAAAAAAAGAAAATATGTCACGATTGTCCAAATGAAGGAATGCGAAATGAAGGGAGGAAAAAGAAAACTAAATGGAAGAAAAGTAAAAAAGAGAACATGATTGATGTTGTAAAAAAAAAAAAAAAGAAAACTTACTTATCTAAATATGTACAAGCGATGCGTAAGTATATATGCATATATATATATGTAAGGTATATACGTTTAACATTCAAAGTAAATCGAACGTAAAACATATAGCATAGAGAATTCATCGATAGATCGAAAATCCTTTGACGTCGACATAAAGGGATCTAACTGCAATTGGCGATGTTCGGTAACGTGGAAGAGAAGAAAGGGATATATATGGATATACCATACAACCATACATATATACATACATATAGTCAGAACAGATAGAAACGTATAGGAGGCAGTCACGATGATTTCCATTTCCTAATCGACTTTGAGCCTGAACCGATGATTGGATCGTGAGATCCGATCGGAAACAATTTGGTATGATCGGTCAGTGCATATAGACGGCAAACTATCTCGTTCACGACGGCAAACGAGAAACAAGCAGAATGAACATCCGAGCCATCAATATTCGTAAGAGATTCACTTCGTCCTTCGATGAAACGATAGAACACAACGTATTGGAGAGAGAGAGAAAGAGAAAAAGAGAGAGAGAGAGAGAGGAAAAGAGAATAATAAACATGGATAGACCATTCAACTATCTATCGGAATGACTAGGATAATAAACGAACGCTAGTTAATATTGCCAGCATATTAATTATTATCACGTTTGTTCCTTTTGTTCGAATTCTCTTTCTCTCTCTCCCTCTCTCTTTCTCTCTCTTTTGCCTATAACTATATATCTATATATCTATCTATCTATCTATCCATCTATCGCACGTCGATGCATTTCCACATTCGATGTACACATAAATTCAAGTTCCAAGCGATGACTGCATATTCTCTCTGCTGTTCGCCTCTCGGCAGTTCGATCGTTCTCGATTGACTTATAGGCAAGCAGGCAGGCAGCAGGCAGGCAGGCAGGCAGGCAGCAGGCAGACTTGGCATCACGATTATGGATGACAAGATTCACGACGATTGTTGTTTATCATTGATGGTTAACACTGTATCGTTTCGCTTCGAATATCACTATAACAATATATTGGAAATAATATAAAATTTAATAGGCAAAATATTATATATATATATATATATATATATATATATATATATATATATTACTCTCGTTGTTATTTGTTTATAATAAATCGTCTTGTTACGCTTTTTTAAAAATAATATGTGATAACGATATATTAGAATAAAAGAGAATGATAGAGAGCTAATAAAATTATATCCTATATGAACGCACGAGTAAAAATCTCGGATACGTAGTATTCGTCTAAAGACGTAACCAACGCTCTCGATGTCTCAACAAATACTGATCTCTTTCTTTCTCTCTACCTATCCCCGAACGTCCTTCGTAAGTAAATCGTCACGTATACGCACACGTCTTCCCCTTCCCTTTTTCTTCAATAAATCAATAAAATTTCTCACTGTGTTTATACGTTCATTGTTAACGCGCAATACAGAACGACCTTGTTTATCATTATCCATCTCGTCCCCAACAGAGGACAAAGAACTGTAGAGTCAATGTAAAACAGAGAGAGAGAGAGAGAGAGAGAGAGAGAAAGAGAGAGAGAGAGAAAGAGAGAGAGAGAGAAAAGAGATAAACAATGATAACCTTTTTTTCGTCTCTCTCTCGTACGTACACATAAAGAAAATATATATACGTAGTATCTATTAATCGTTGACAACACTGTAATGACTCATTTAGAAATAGCAAGGTAGAGATAGAGAGAGGGAGAGATATTAACGAAATAAAAATATAAACGTATTGTGTCTGTACTAATTGACAACACTACGATGACTCATTGAGAAACAGATAGAAATGAAGAGAGAAAGAGAGATACAGATAGAGGAAGAAGGAGAAGAAGAGTAATCGAATAAAAATAAAATCAACGTTGTTATACATCAGTCTAACAGTTATTCGAGACATCAGTGCTCATTAACACGACGATAAAAGTTGTATCACTCGGTGTGAATTCGGTTGTTGTTTCATTGAGTGACGCCAAAACGAGGAGGAGAAAAACCAATTAAAGCTGTGTCGCAACACGGTTGTTCGACGATCATCTTTCACGAGCGTACATTTGAACATCGATATGTCCCTCTCTCTCTCTCTCTCTCTCTCTCTCCTTCTCTATCTATCTGTCTATCTATCTATCTATCTATATATCTATATATCTTTCTATCTCTTTTCGTCGATCGAACAAACAATGAACGTGAAAGAGAGAAAGAGAGACAGAGAAGAACGTATAGCGAACGGAATATCATTCGTTTTCCGTTATTTATTCATCGAATCGAATCGTCTCACGCATTCCTCAACACGCCGAGAATAGTCGAGATAGGATCGACAAAATTCGATGACCCGTTCTATATCGTAGTACTATGGATACAGATATATACACATGCACGTATGCTGTACACACAGGTACACAAACATATATATATATATATTTATATATATATATATATATATATATATATATATATATATTCGTAACCGTGAGAGGAGCGAGTTTTCGCGTGAGAATGTCGACCGGTGCGCGTCGAAAGCTCGTTGCTTTCGTTCCAACGAACAGAAATGCACGCGCGTGCTGTACTGTCTCTTCCTCCAACACGTATCTATATAGATAGAGTACGTATCATACATATATCTACATCCATGTAAAACGATATAGAGAAAGAGAAAGAGAGAGTGAGAGAGAGGGAAACGAAGAGGTACGTTGTTATCGAGCACGGTACTGTAGTTACATCTGGATGAAAATTAATCGGCTTATCTCATTGGATGCCTCGAACTACAATCTCACGTCTATCTGCTTTTCTGTAGTTTATCACAGTGTGTTTTTCGTTTATTATCGAAACGTGCCTCCTCCTTCTCCTCCTTCTTTTACTTTTGTCGTTTCGTTTCAATGAAAGATCATTTAGAAATCAAATGAAAAATGAAAAGTGAATAATTTGTACGTTTTATGAAACGATATGTTATAAATTATATGCCAATGATTTTCCTATGAAAATGAACATAATTTTAATTTGATTATTTTCCTCAAAATTTAACTGCGCTATATATATATATATATATATATATATATATATATATATATTTATATACATATAAAATGTTTGAATAATTGATAATAATTTCTACGTCTTTAATGTAATATATTATTATACATACATGTGAGTATATATGTTTATATATATTAATATGAAAGAAGAAAAAGGAAATTTGTAAAATACTAGTGAAAAGGATTGTTGAAAAAGTGTAGTTGATGGGAGGTAATTATTTCTGAATTAAATAGCTCGTAAAAGATTAAAGCTTGGCCAATAATAATTTTCAAGGGCTATTTATCTATATCTACGTGTGTATTTTCTTTGTTGCGATATTTCCGTCTCAGCGAGTTCTAAAATGCACGACATCGATAATCGTGAAAATCTTGGAAGAAAATTTCATCGCGACGTTCTCGAGATATCATATCGAAGATAAGAAATTCTTTCGTTGCCATTGAAAACTTCTTTTTCCTTGGGCAATTAATTTAATTCAATCGGACGAATCAAATCAATGGATATTTTTATTGCGATGAATGATTGATTAAAAAAAAGGAAGAAGAAAAAAAAAACAGAGAAAAAAAATATCATTGAAATATTTCCATAGGATTGATAATTATTGAAATTAAATAGGATATTATGTAATTCATAAATCTGGAATCGATTTAATACGATGAATAAAAAAAAAAAAAAAAGAAAACAAGGAAAGAAAAAAAGAAAAAAGAAAATGAAGAGAGAAAAAATAATTTCCATATGATTATCAAGAGGAAATTGAGAGAATTCTATAGGATAGATGGTATAAAATTAATTAAATCGATTCGATTCGTAAAAGAGAACACTCGAATCGAATATCACGCGAGGGGAATTATGTAAGTACCCCCGTTATTACAGTTGAGTGGTGGTGCGAGAGAAAGTGGGGAAATTAATACGATAAATCAAAGTAAGAAAGGAAAGAAGAGATGGACCGGAGGAAGAGAAAAGGAGGAGAGAAAAGACAAAGGGTTAAGAGCTATGATAGCGAAAGGAGCCACACTCTAGTAGAGGATACCATTGGGGAGTCTACCCATCTGTTTGTAGTAAAAGATAATGAAACCAATTAAATCCGAGATGGAGAATACGCTTATTGTTGTTTCTACGTGTACCGTCATTACGTTTTCTACCTATTGTATATTTATTTTTTAATTTCAATAGAAGAACACACGAGAGAGAAAGAAAGAAGTAGAGAAAATTGTAAGGAACGCAAGATTCGTACGATAGAATTATCTTTTTTTTTTTTTTTTTTTTTTTTTAAATTTCTTTTTTATAATATAGAAAGAGAGGGAGAATAAGAAAGAGAGAATAAGGCAGATATATATATATATATATATATATATATAGAAAAGATCGAACAACATGATTATATCATGTTCTATCATCCGTTCTATCATCGTTTCTTCGGGTTGATTCCTCCTTTGTTCTTAATTAACTCTTTTAATTTCCGATTCACCGTTTATCTTAATTCCTTCGTTCTTATTCCTTTGACTAGATCTCTTCGTAGAGTTCGTTAACGAATTGTTATCTTTAGTCTTTATCAAAGCACACACACTCTCTCTCTCTCTCTCTCTCTCTCTTTTTCTTTTTACACGCATAGATATACATATATACATGCACACATAAATGTGTATGTATCTATATAAGTAGATATAATATATATATATATATATATATATATATATATATGTACCCTTATTGTTAAAATCTTTATATTTCATTTCCATTAAATATTACTTTCATTTCTATACAATATATATGTATATAGGTTTGCCCTTAAATGTCTTATATACGGAAATAGATAGATCCACTTTAAGGTCTGACATAGAACGACACAATTCCACTTAACATGGGGCTACAAACTAGGAATGAGTTTGTTTTGTCAGGATGCGAGTGACGTCGTGTAGCTAACGCGTTTCCCTGGCTATACCTTGTACATCTAACTTGTCGTTTCTATAGAAAGATTGTTCACCGAGTGATAACGCCGTCGCGAACATACAAACTTTACCCATCCTCCACCTTTAACTCGACCTCCACCTCTTTTCTCATCCCCACTCCCTCCTCCTCACTCCATCCCATCCCTGGTTTTAATTATATTTAACCCCCGATGGCTATTATGACAATGTCTCTTCTATCTATTCGCAAGATAAAACGACGAGTTTAAAAGACATCTTAGAGATTTTTCTGTTCTGTATTTTTGCTTCTTTTTTTTTTTTTTTTTTTTTTTTGAGGATTTTCTCTAACTTTATTTAATATGATATAATGAGTGAGATGAAACAATGTTTTATTATTATTAGAGTCAATTTCACAAATCGCTTATCAATATTTCTTAGACGTTTTATTTGAATGTCGCTATTTTTTTTTTTTTTTTTTTTTTTTTTTTTTTTTTAATAAAATAGTGAAAATAATCTTTTGTAATGTAAGGATACGTAACATAGAATAAATGATGGTTATTATTTTATGAAAAAAATTTCTGATTTTTCGTCTGTCTTCTTTCTCTCTCTCTCTCTCTCTCTCTCTCTCTCTCTCTCTCTCTCTCTCTCTCTCTCTTCTCTTTCTCTATTTATCTCTCTATCATGCACTTTAATCAGAGAATACAGAAGCTAGCAAGATTTGTCCTATGGAAAGCTTCATCTCTCTTCCACAGTATCTCTAACGAAGCACATGTAATAGAGAACTTTGTTATGGATACTAATGGATATAATGGATATCTAATAATCCACCTTTCCTATGTTTCTAATTACACGTTAGAATACACGAATTAGAAGATGTACAATTATGTGAATACATGTTCGAAATGATTTCTTTTTTATGCGAATCTGATGGATGAAGTGAGCGAGGAAAAAAAAGACGTAAAAAGAAGAAAAAAAAAGTAATAATAATAAACAAGTAGTAATAATAAACAAATAATAATAAAAAAAAAAATATATATATATATATAAGACGAATACAAAATTGTACGAGTACTCGTCATGCTTAAAAAAAAAAAACAACAGTCTCTCTCTCTCTCTCTCTTTCTCTCTTACAACGACGATCGACGAGGAAATGGTGGAGAAGGCAAGCGGTATACCGTAGCAGCACAAACTCTGCGGTCAAAAGTAATTCCAGTTGATGGAAAAAAACGCGTCCGTGCCTTACTCGATGGCAACGAATTAAATGGCGTATTCCGTGCATACCCGACTACAGATTGGAAAATTCGCGATGCTCGACGCGCGCTGTACATTTTTCAGCTGGTGTCAAATACACTGTCGGCGTAGGTAAAGCATAAAAAAAAAAAAAAAAGAAAAAAAGAAAGAAAAAAGAAGAAGAAAAAAAAGAAAAAAGAAAAAAGAGATAGATAGATAGATAGATAGATAGATAGATGAATGGATGGATAGATGGATGGATGGTTGGATGGATGGGAC